CCAATCTCTATCCCCCCATAATCAACCTTGGCACTCACGAGCTCGGACCCAACTTTTTCAAACTCAAGGGGTGGTCCGCAGTCGAATTTCAAGGTCCTCTGTATGGCCTTCAATGCTCATGCCTGTGGATGGGGCCCCAACCGAATTGCCAGAAGTCTCAAATGCCTCTAAACTCGGTTGCAGCCTCCTCAATGTCAAACCCTTCTCTTCAAACTCTGGCGCCAAGCCCCCGTCAAGCCTAGGAGGACTTACTGTCGCCGCGACACTCTTCACTTCTCCTCCTTGTCCGCCTTGTCCTGTGTGTCCTTCCACTTCGCCTTGCCCTTGCCTTCACGATCTGTCCACGAGCCTTTGTCTTTTTGCTTTCCTCCTTTCTTGCTCTTGCCTTTTCGTTTTTCGTTCGACCAACCTCCTTTGGCGCACCGTACCATCCTTTGCCCCAACCTCGATGCCAAGCTTCGACGGTCTCCACCTTGAGGCTCGCTTTGGCATGCTTGCGAGCTTCTAAAAGTATTGCCGCCGATGTTGCCTGCTGGTCGTCTTGATTCGCGACCTCTAAATACCTCGCCTGGCTCCACGTGTTGTCCAGCAGCGCTTGGTGCGCTGCAAGGAAGTGGCCAGCGCAAAGGTCCGCTGCACGGGCTATGGACCCTGATCAAATCGTGTCGATCACCTGACTCACCAGATAGAGGTCGCGCATGGCCGCTCGATGCTGCGAGAACTGCGGGCGAACATGAAGGTTGAAGTACGTAGTAATCTTCACGCCCTCTGTTATTGCTCGGCTCCCATCCTTTGCAACTTCGACTATACCTCTTGCGCTCGCTGGACGACGAGAAGACGAAGGACAGCTCCAGGGCTTTCTTTTGACCTGCGCTTTAACGGTGCTTCGAAGCCCGCTTCTGACGAAGAATCCTCCTCTTCTGAATCGCCACTTGGGGGGGGAGCTTGATCCGTCGGAGCTGATGATGGTGCCATTTACCAGGCGACGCTTCTTGTTTCCCTTCTTCTCTTTGCCTTTCTTTTCTTCTTCTTCTTCTTCTTTTTCCTTGAACTGCTCCGACCTCGACGATCTCCTGGTGGTCTTCCTCCTCGATCTCCTGACCCTGAGGTCTTTGCCACTTGGTTCAATCTCTGCTCTGTCTCCTCTCTCCTGCTTCTGGTCTCTCTCCCGCGTCCTGCGCAAATGGGGTGAGGTCCAGCCCATGCCGCCCAATAGCCACTGGTTGCATGGCGGCGGACTGGTGAGGGGACCAGGACTAAGGTGCGAGCCCCCTTTGGTCACCAGCCGCCACTCAACCTAGGGCCAAAGCACTTTTAGGCGCAGATTCAGTGACAGTCGTGCAGCCAGTAAGCTGGATGCACTGCTGGCACTGCTTGAGCCCATACGACCACGTGACAAGAGCAGAAGCTGGACCTTGAGCCAGATACCCTGCAACCTTTTTCAATGCCGACACCCCTTGAGGGGAATGGCACTTAAAAAGGGGTGAAGTCTCTTCAGGAGAGGACTCAGGGTTCCTGACACTTGGTGCATCGCACTTCACACCAGCGGCCAGCACCTAGGGGGACTAGAGTAGCCTTCTTCTCTTAGTAGTGTTCACCACTCTGGCCCGTTTAGAAAGTCGCTGTTCAAGAGCTACCTGATGTTCTTCGTTAGCTGCCTGATAGAGGCGTTTGCGCCAAAGCCGAACGACGGAGGTAGGGGATGTAGCACCTCGGCACCAGCTGGTATATGCCCTGTGAAAGCAGTTTGGGCAGCCAGCTGGGCAAGCAGCTGGTCACGCTTGTGCCTGAGAGGGTCACACCGCATCAGGGGCGGGTCAGAGGCCGCAAAGCCAAATTCCGCGCTTAGGTGATGGTGCAACTCTAGCAAGATTTCATCTGTAGGGCATGGGGCAATCCAGAACCCATCGTGTAACCAAATGGCTGATGTAAAACCAACTGCGGCTTGTAAGAAGGAGTAGGCAACCCACGCTACGTGTTGCTCTAAAACTTCGAAAAGTGAAATGGAGCGGAGCGGCTAGCCTGTATGCGTATCTGAGGACACCACGGAGGAGGATGCTCCATGACAAAACGACTAGCCGCGTGCACCTCATGTGCCCTGTGCGCTCCTCTGACCTCTGCTGAGCTTGTCGGAGTAGCTGCGTCGAGATGTCTCTCGAAGAAGAATCTCTTGTATCCACAACCTGACTCCTCTTTTTCAGACTGGCTCCACTCGTCAGGCTCCTCAACTCCTCCACAGAGCCGGAACCTCTGTCTCCGTCCGGCAAGCGTTCCTCGCCATCTTCCTCCTCTCGAATTCTCTTCAAATCCTTGATGGAGCGTCGAGCCGGGCCCCCAAGTCGATTTCGAACAATGTCCAACTTCCGCCTCAACTCTTCTGTGGACATCTGATGGGAAGTCCGAAAACGCACGGTCGGCGGGACCAGCGTTGAGCCGATCTTCGAAGGGGCCATCCTCCGACGGTTTGTCTCCTCCAGACACCCCTTTCCCCCGCGCTCTCAAAGCAGCAGCAGGGGCTGAACGCAGCGCACTGGGACGCGACGCGCGTTTGGGGGTTTTTAGAACAGCTTTGCGACCTTCTACAGCACCTTCTTTCGACAAAGGCTGACTTGAGGCACCTCCACGCCCTGTGTCCAAACCCGGATCCTCCACCTCTTCCTCTGACTCCTCCAAGTTGCTGCCAGCAGGTACTTCTCCTAGCCACTTGGATACCTGGCGGCGGTGTGAGGCAGTGAAGTAGGATGGATTGAAGCCCTCGCGGGTGTACACTCTCACACGGGTGGAGTGCAAATAACCTTCTTCGGCCTCGGTACACGGGGTACTGATGCAAAGATGGATGCAACCTTCTTTCCTGTTGAATATGGAAGATAACTCCTTGTTCAATGAAGGATCTGTACATCCGACGGAATGAGCGACCAAACCCATTCCCCCGTCTCCAGTCACAAACCTGCTCATTACAAGGAACCCTGCTGTAGCCTCTGAAGGAGGGTCCCAATCGGTGTGTTTGAGCTCGATCTCCACGCAATCTCCTCGACCAATGTTCAACAGCGGCCACCTCTCTCCGTCCTCCATCACAAACAACTCTCCTTCTGTCCATAGTGGAAAGATATTGCTCAGCGCGGACATGGTGGTGGGGGTGGGATGTCACTGAAGTCGTCCTTCTCCCTTGTCCGTTGAAGCTCACTAATCCCTCTTTTTCTGTGCAACCTCACGTTTGGATCTTTCCTCCTTTGAACCTGTTGATGTTTGGCTCCTCCTCTGCGGCCTCTGTGCCTCTCTCGCCTCTCACCTCTCTTCTCCTTTATTTTCTCTTTTGGGACCTTCTCTCGACCTTCTCTCTCGAACTCCTAGCTTCTCGACTAGGTCTTTCAGCAGCCTCTGATTCCTTCTTCACCTTCCAATTAGGTGGAGGGAATGGTGGCTCACGTGGAGGAGGTTTCTTACTGACCACAAGCTCCTGCAACTCAGACTTCTCCTCTTCAACCTCGTCCTCTTCTTCGCAATAGCTGTAAGTGTAGCTCTCTTCCGGATCCGGCTCACGATCAGCCTCAGAGCCGCGCACCTCCTCCTGAGGCCTCACGGGCTGCGCCTGCAACTTTGGGGGTAGCACCAGCACACTTGCCACGAGCCCCGCTACTTACACCCTCCTCGGACTTGACCGGTTCCACACACAGCGAAATCGACCGGAGGATCTTAATCTGCCTGGCGGCGTCAACCAGCAGATCATTTGCGGCGCGTCGGAGGTCTGCACACCCCCAGCGCTCACGGAGCTCCACCAAACTGTTCTCCTGAGCAGCGCTGCCCACACACCACGAATCGTTCAACAAACAAACGCTTTGCCGGCACTTGTTGCAAAGCGTCTTGGCCATAGGCGTGGAGGCTAAGAGCCGAAAAGCGATCACGTGTACTAATCGCCCTATAATTCTGAAAAATACCATATATATCCCCCATTTTATAGAGTTATGTTTGCAACGAATATAAGTTAATAATCGGCGAATATTTCCTTAATCAAATATATCGAAATTTATTTAGTTATCGAATATTCATCGAATATAAATATGTATCAAACAAATATTACAATGTATATATATATATTTACAATACTACTATGTTATATATATTTTTTATATATCAATCTCACAACACCCTGGCCCTGGGGATCGCCGGCATCGTCCTTGCATTCGTATTCGAATGTAAGGACCTAGAAGTATCCTTAAGAAGCTTCTTACGCGCCACCTCAGGTAACGAATGCCTGTCATGCCCCAACGAGTATATAACCCATCCTGTGTCCTCCTTTGGCTGACCATCTTAGAGTACCAAGTCGATGCCCTCATCCGTGAGGTCCAACGACTAGCCATATGCCCTCAAAATATCCATAGCGATCATGCCTCCCCCCATCAATACCTCACGATTCCTAACGAGGGGAGGCCAAACCGTTCCGACCACCTTAGCCGAAATTCCGCAGCGATCTCTTTCTCGCATACAACTGCGGACGCAAAAACAATAAAGTATACATTAATTATACATCAATTACATTATATATATATATTTAATAAATTATAATATTATATATATAGTTAATATCACAATACTTTAGTTACATACATATATATAATATTTAATATATATTATATAAATATATATATATATTTAGAATTCACTATATATATCTTTTTTTTTGACAATTTTAAATACATTAAGATAAATATACTAAGTCGTATTGTTATTTAAATTGTTGATTATATATAAATATTAATATAGAACATATACAAAAGTATAGATTATGTCTTTCGAACCAATAGATTTCGTAATTGATGGAAAGGACATGTCAATTTAGCCAAATTGAATTTGGACCTCTTTTGGATACCAAAGTTGGCTTCTTTAGTTGTGGAACGTCACGGCACAAGGTTATCCAGATCAGAATACAGGATGTATTTCAAATGATTTGCAGGAGTACCATTCTTTCGGAGCCCTTGCCGTGAAGTTCCAATGCATTGGCCTCATTTAGAGGAATTAGATTCTTTGCTGAAGGATCTCGAGATCCGTGTGGCCATTCGAAGCTTTCTCCAGCGTCTCTTTGCTTGAAATCGGAGCAGGTCTGCACGCTCCTCAGGCTCCAGGTCATCATTCTCAGCCTTAGTCTTCATATTGCTCACTCAGCCTTTGCTTAGCAAAACCCAAGCTTAAGAAAAGATTGAAATCAATCTTAGGATATTAGATCCTTTCAGGCAGAGTTAAGTTCGAGCACCCCCGCCGTATATAAAACCGCAAGCCAGTAACATATAAAACCTCGTCGGAGCCCACCCCGCAAAGGCCCAAATCGATCTATGTGTTTGTTGTCATGCCCCTCACCACTGTATGCTTTGCCGTTTCGAGCATGCACATTTTGTGTAGAAATTTGTGATTTCCATATCCCTCAGGGCTACTCTGGGGAAAAATGACGAATTATATGGCAATGTTGCGCTGTCGTGTTGGAAGATGAAGTGGGGAGTAGTTAATGACATTCGTTTGGGTTCGCTACTAAGATGACGCCGCAGGGCAAAGCGGGTGGGGATGGGTGGGGGGTGGAAGACGTTCGTTCGAGAACGGACGGTGCTGGGATCGAATGTATCAGTGGTTGTAACAGGTTGTACCCACATAGTCGCTCTTGAACAGAAAAGAAACAATCCTAACATGAGTGTCAATAAAATAACGCTTCGTTGTCATTCCACGGAAAAACACCTTCCAAAAACAACCTAACAAAAACATGCAAAAGCACATGTCTTTTAGCAAATCATGTTATGCGCGGCTGTATGGGGGCGTGTTACCATGATTTTGGCGGAGGAATCGCTGATTGCATCAAAGTCGCGGTTTCTGTCTGGAAGCCTTGTGGAAATGCTTCGTGAATGGACTCTATGCACTCCACCACACTTCGGTGAGGGGGAAACCAAGCCTTCAAAGATTTCTTGGCATCCTCACGGCGTAGGAGGGCCGAAAAGATCTCATACCAGCCTGGATCGCGAACAGGCCAAACTGGATTGATTGGAAAAGAAAAGCCCTCCTCAATTCGCTCCATGAGGAATTTCTGCAAAGCACCTGGGTCATAGTAAGCCCATGGCTTACCAGGCAACCCATGCCATACCACCAGGTATTCTGCATCAAACTCTTGGGGAAAATAGAAGTTAAAACATTCAGCTCCATGTCGGACAGCTCCAGAGATGGCTGTCGCTTTGATCACTTCCTCAATCAACCTGTACGAAGTGGGATCCCCAAAGCCATACGGGGGAATGGACGGATGGAAACCCTCCTGGTTGGCCTTTTGCAGTACTTCCAACCAGCGGGAGTTCCAGGACTTCTTCCCCGGCTTGCTTAGAATCCCCTTGGCTTGCTGCAAGCTCCAAACCATCAAATCGAGCTGTTCATCCGGTAAGGCCTCGTAGCTCATTCCAATGCTACCGATGGTAAATGTATCAAAATCGGAGACCACTGGCTTTACGCTTCGGATCTGCTTACCTCGCGCTTCATATTCCTCTGCATAAGCCACCAGCAAGCCATGCGGATTCAGTTCGTTTGTCGCATCATACTGGTACAAAACCACTCTTGGAGAGGATTCTGATCGCAAGGCATGTAGGTTCATGTCCATGAAAGCAGGCTCTGATGCACGGCCCGTCTCCCAACCTGCACGGAACTGGATGTCAGGAGTATCGATGTAGACCTCACGCAAGAGGTCTTCAGACATCACCAAGCCGTAAACGCCTGGATATGAGTTGTCCTCATAGACCGGGGACATTTCTTTCCACGCTTCTGCACGTTGAAGTTCTTTCAGTGCGGCTTCTTGTGATTCCCGCGACTGATAATAAACGGTCACGGATGCCTCCTGCACTGCCACAGGATTTTGTTGGGGATATGACATGGGAGGCCCACAAGGTTTCCGAAGAAACCACAAGATTAAGGTAGCCGAACCAGCTCAACAAAAGTGAAGAAACATGAGGTGCATCCAAGTATCATCTTGAGGTGGCCCAATCTGTTCCTTGTGCTCATTCACACTGATTTGAAGGAAAGGAACAAATCCAGAGAGATAGTTCTTTTTGGCTGACTTCCCTTTCCTTGAGCGAAAACAGCACACAAAAACAAAATGCCGCTGGACTCATTTCATCTTCTTCCCATCCTGCACACATAAATATGTTCTACCGGTCACTTCACTTCCCTGACGATGGCTTGCCAAACTGCACACCACTTCTTGTAAAACTGGATCTGTTTCTTGACACATTTAACTTTGGGGAGGGCCCCAATTGCTTTCAGGGTAAACCTCAACAGCTTGCACTCTACTCATCTCTAAGCTTCACATTGAGCCCCTTTCCAACGGCCGTCTGATTCAGCATCTTTGCGAGCGCGTCTCCTGGGCTTCACTGAGCGCGTTGGCCGCGAAGCTACGCCGGCTACGCTTTCCAAAGCTGCACACAATGAGTCGAACAGGGAAGGCAGGCGAAACCAAAACATCATATATATATATAATATATTTTAATATCCAATGAAATTCTCATGGTCGGTCCGGGCTCCACATTCTATAGCAATAAAATGTTGGAGTCTACCTTCTTTGCTCTATAGAGTGGATTACCCCAGCTAACAGGATGGACACCAGCTCACTATAGAATGGGGAGCCCAGACCGACCAAAACCAACCAAAATGACACCTTTGTACGCACCTCAAATAGACCCAACCATAATTTGGTTTACCCCACCCTCCTTCCAGACCTTCATTGGGTCAAGATAAACGCTCAAGCGCACACATTTCCAAAAAGAAACACTTTATAAGGGGTCATGTTTGCAAGGAAAATGAGGGCTTCATAAACAGCGCTTGAAACAGCGCTTGATCTGAGATTATAGGCAGATTGCCTTTCCATAGATGGATAGGAGTCCACCCAAAAAGGGCTGTCCATAAATTGAGTGCCCCACCACTTTTGGAGTCTCTTTAACAGTGTCATGTTGTTCGTAGAACCGTTTTATGCAGGAGCCTGGGGGGGACAGATTTTATGGATGACATCTTTACAGGGATTTTTTTAAAGTTATATTATGATTATCCCATACTGTACTGATGGGACTCCGAAATACATCAAAAAAATCAGCCTGCCAACGGACGCACAAAGAACACCTGATAAACACCATATTCTTCTTATACTGCATACTCTTGTGGAGACGACCGTACCTTCTTCACCTATTTGTGAAATGGCCGTGGATCAGTTTGCCCCAGTCTACCGGCATGAAGCCGTCAGGACTGAATTACAATCCGGGGGTCATAGTTCAACATAGTTACACATCACACCCTCAATTGGAAGGGTTTTGCAGCACCAGGAGTCTTCATCATCAGATTCAGTCTTGCAAGGGTCACCTGTCTCCTAGTATGTATATGCAGAGGAACGAATCAAATGCGCTACATCCAAACACTCAAAATTATAACGCAACCAACTTACTCAACTAATTGAATGACGTAATCGTCCAGGCATAAACGACGTTCGTCAAGGCTCGACTAGTAGGGCGGTACACTGCAAACCACTGTGTCTCCCCCGGAGTTTGGGCAACGCCACCAGGGCCATGCTGGTCACCCGGGCTGTAGAAGTCAGCCAAGGCCTTGCGCGGATCACAGGCCTCGCAGGAAATACGGGGACAGGACAGGCCCGAAGTCAGTGATGTTCTCGTTATGTCTCAAGTCTCTGGGGATGGACTGAAGAGGCTTCAAGACGCCATCAGTCAACCAAAACAAATACATAGTGGGCGAGGCTTTCAACAGCAATCACCGAAGATGGGGCGAAATATCACAGCTTCTGATTGACTATCGTTACCGTGCGCGAAACAACCAAGGTACGTAATTTTCACGTTGCTTCAGCTCCAATTCCTCCAAGCGCTCAAAGGTGTCCCGGTCCAAACATAAGAGCTCCGTGTCCGTTACAGCCTCAGTGCTACTGCAACCTGACAAGGTGACCAAGACCTAGAGATGTGCAAAAGAAAATATCTGGAGTTACCAGTCTATTGGTGTCGAACTACAACGCTCGATGCCAGGGCACAGTCACTGAAGCTGCACGATCTGTCCGGTTGATGAAGGCCAACTCTCCAAAGCGTTCCCCTGACGAAAGGGGTGTTTGACACAAAGCAGGTCTCTTTGCAAACAAGCAATTGCCTGATACTTTGTATGAATATGCAAAGTTATATTCAATTCGAACAACCACTTTCATAATCAATCATAAAAAAAGAGCGAGAGAGAGAGAGAGAGTGAGTGCGAGCGAGCGAGCAACCTCCCCGGAAGGGTCGGAGGGACCACGGCCAGCGTGCATGTAGAAATGTGCATCAACAGTTCAAGAGCGCGCAACCTCCCGGATTGTAACAAGGAACACATGCAACCAACATGCAACCTCCCTTGGAACATGCAACCAACATGTTGATGTTCGCTCGCATTTGAAGAACTTTGTGTTCCAAGGGTTGTACGATGTGTAAAGAACACAGCCACCCGAGGTACGAGGGCAGTGGCTGCGAGGTATTGTAGGCCTTGCACCTAATTGAGTTTCTAGAAGAGGCAGCTATAAACAAATTGCCATACTGGAGGTGCGTCATTTGGGTCAATTTGTCAGTTTGGATGTTCTTAGTTTGGCAAGGGAAAGCCATGAGCTTGTTAAAATGTAAATCTATTTCAACAAGGGGCCCCAGTCAGGTTCGCAACTCAGGATCACATGATTGTGACTGGTCTTTGGAAAGGAGGCGCCTTTTGAATGGAAAGGATGTGTCAAATGTGAGCAGAACTTTGTCACTGCAGCTCAGCCAAGGCCTGGACTACTAAGGAATGAGTATCCATAGGAACTCATCCCATTCGCACTTGAGGCCACAAGGATTGGACGAAAGGATCAAAGCCACAAAAGTTAGGAAGGGAACATGCCAATAGACTGTGGCTTGCCATACTACATAAGCTGAAATGATGATCCACCAAGATTTTGACTAGCTTGGAACAGCAATTCTCCATAGTGGATGCATGAAAATAAGAACCCGCTAGGATTCAAACCAAAAATAACCAAAGGTTGGATTTGAACCCCTGATGGGGAAGAAATATGATCACCACCTAAATCTAGTTCTTCGGGTAAGGGGTCAAAACGCAGGTTCCATCCCGAACAGTTCCAACATTGTGGAATGACCCACCAGGTGTCAACAAATGGGTACGACTAGAATTTCAATTACAGTAAATTGAGCGCCTCTCAGATTCTCTCATGCCTTCCTCACCCCCAGCTCACCCCATGCCAAGTTTGGAAAAGTGAATGGTTTCACCCCAAGCTAGAGGAAAACTATATAATTGTAAATTGTTCATATGTTCAGCCACACCGGCCACATCAACATCAGGAAACATCCGACTGCGCCATCTGGTGCCTGGACCATATCTTCTCACCTCGTGCTCTTCCAACTCCGCCTTGTCTGAGCCGACCTGTGTCAAGCAGCAGCCACCGTGAGGTGATTCGGGCCTCTATCTTACGGTGACACCGCACGGCGACCCCACGGCTTCGCACCTGGTCCACCCAGATTGTCACAGCACATTCACCACCTGGCAAAATCTCTCTTTATGTCTGATTTGTTGGGTATATCCTAATAGAGGCATTCTCTCAAAAATGGTGATAGCCTTTGACCAACTGTTACTGGTAACAGGACGCACCCTACCGATTTGTCTATTGATCACAAGGGTGCCAAGAGGACTCAGCACAATGTAGAGCTCCGCTGGCACGGTCTGCCCTTCGATTGGTTTCTGCCCACGACGCACGATTTTCTGGCCCTGGACGATGATCTTGGAGCCGCTCGAATATTTTCGCTTCTCCTTGGATAAATTCTCCACAACAGCTGCGGTCGGAGCCAAATGGCGACTTGGACACCTAGAGCATCTTAGAGCTAAGTTCTCCGTGCTCCACCGGCATCTGTGATTGCACACATTTTTGGTCTATGAGGTCAACAAGTGTAGGCCACCATAGGCTACCAATCAATATAGCTTGGGACAAGTAGCTACAATGTCGGTGATCCTGGCAATAAGCTCATCATCGAAGGTCTCAAACATGGGAACCTTAGTGAAACTCAAACAATGGCCAAATGGTCTGGACAGAAAGGACACACCTACGCAAAAATACTCGCAGGGGCTCCTGGTGAGTCGGCGACGGATGTCATGTGTGAGACGAGAACCCCAGGGCCATTCTCGAGAGAAGACGAGGTTGGGAACCCCGTCGGCCACCAATTTTGTTCAACCTGTTGGAAACTGGGAGGATGCGAGGTGCACAGGTGGCGACCTCGTCATTGCAAGTGGATGCAGTGATGCAGCAGCCAAATCATGAGGTTCCATGGTGCCTGCTGCCACAAAAACATTGACTAAGACCAATTCCCATCTTGTGACGTCTTGGATTTACACCGAGGCTGGAGCAGGGTCTGCCGAAACACGCCTTGGCGCTTTGTGAAACCGTGTGCAGCCGCTAGGCCATGCTTTTGCCACATCTTTTTGGTCCAAAGATGCTCTGGCAGGTACCAACTCCAAGACATATTTCTGAGCACCACCGGATCCCGTGATATCGGCTCCAAAATGAATGCCCGCCAGCACGGTCTTCGAGTGCTCGGCAAAGGCCAAGGGATCAATTTGTCCCGCCGTGTTCACGGGCTCCCCAGTCCCGGCTCCGAGGACTTCGCTGGGATACTTGAACCATCCAGGTTGCTGGGTAAAGTCGGTATCTGCATAGTTCCAGTAAGTCACCGCATTGATGCCTAGATCCACCGCCATAGCCATTTGATCTGCAGTCTTCTGAGGGCAATCCTCAAAGAACTCACTGAGCCATAAAGGTGCACCGTGGAGAGTGTCAGTGGCAAACTGTTTTGCGGCATCCACGGTCTGTTGAAATGATGCAGTGAGGGGAGGAACGTAATAGTGGAAAGAGAAAATCAGGCGATTCTGCTGAGCCAGCAAGTGGTATTGCTTCTTCGTGTGACTCGGAAAGCCTGCGAGAGAGAGGCACGAGAAGAAGCATTCTGAGGCTGGAGCTGCACTGCCAAAGTTGGCAATAGCTATAGGACACTTGATGGATGGATCCGCATTCAGGACCTCTAGCACATCCCCAAAGAAGCCGGACACATGCCGCCAAATGATAAAGGAATAGCATAGGTTCGGTAAGCCACCCAGCGGAGGCTCATTCAGAAGCTCGACAGCAACAACATTGTCATACTTGTCCCACAGACTGCAAAGGTACTTCACAAACTTCATGTAGGGATCGAAGAAAATCTCCTTATCTTGCTTGTTATGTGCTGAGCCATAAATGCGTTTGGCACTATTCTGGACCTGTGCCGTGATGTAAAGGGAGTGCCAGTGCTCATCACTGTTGTTGCGCCTCATGCTGGCGTTGCCAACGTTCATGTGTGCCGGATCGCCGGCATTGCCACCGACGGAGTGGGCTCTCCAAGGATCAGCGTCACCATCGTACGATGTGATGCCAAGCTTAAAGCAGCTTACAAGACAGTTGGGAGCTCCACAAAATGGCTGCAATGGATGGCTAGAGTTGGTCAGGTAAGAGGTGCGACAACATTCTGGACAGCAGGTGCAGGAGGAGAAGCAGCAACAACAACAGCACTGCTCCAAGAAGCAACCAGCCCGGTCTTGGAAATCAGCAATGACCCACCATGGAACTCCGTCCCCTCCACTTGTGGTGGAAACCGAGTCCGTATGGACATCGCAGAAAACATAGACACCTTCCTCACGGAATGCTTGAATGCATCCCTCTAGCTTTGTCTTGAACGTCGCATCGATCTCCTTGGTGCCGGATGGCATGGCTGCGTCCATCATGGTCCCCAAACGGACACACGGAAGCACCTTGCGGGCAGTCCCATCTGCCGCTGGCGGAGGTTGATACGCCATAGATGTGGCTCCTTTGGCCAAAACTTTGGCGTCACTTCTGATCACCTCCAGCGGAGGAAAGAACGGATTCGACTTCATGACATAGTTTCCTCCCATCAAAACTACTTCTTGGCCATCCATCTTGAATGACTCACCACTGATGGTGACACGTCCAGGTCTTAAAGGCGTGTCTTCGGACATCGTGAAGGACCAGGATGCTAAGAGCGCAGGACACCTGAATACCTGCCTTTGAGCCAAAGCACCACAATGCCTCTCAGATCTTTCCGAAAGACTTGCTACATCTTACAAGTTTGGATGAGAACGCAACTGTCACAACAGCATACAATAAATAGCACAGGCATCTTGGCTTCAAGGAGCTCGACGCAGGTACTTCTCCCTCAAACTTCTCGCAGCCATGGCGGAGCGAGTGATAATATTCACGTACCTGGCATGGTAAGGTGAGGCCACTGGCCATTGGTGTGGAAAGCTGGGAACCTTGGAAGGTCAGGTCTCACAACTGCCAAACAAACAGGACCATGGTTGTTTTTTGGCTTTCGCAACCCGGACTCGAACACCGTACGAGCGCACGTTTCTCGCTCCAGCTGGCCGAGCACGCAGTCATCGAGAGCATCCACGGTCATTCGCCGGCAAAACCCCCAAAGCATGCTGTGCTCTCCGAAGAAGGTGCCGGGAGAAATCCTCAAACGACCCACCCGGTCACATCGGGTTTTGTGCCCCTCCTGTAAGGACAACCGCAAATAGATGTGGTCAACATAGATGAGACAAGCATGGGCTGGATCAAGCTGAATGCACGTTGACGTGGGAGTAAGGGAATGAGGTTTCCACTTAAGACCAGTGAGAGAGGTTGATTGTTGTTGAAGGTAATTGTCAGCCTTCCTGTCAAAACAAAACATGGACCTCATGTGAGCTCAGGTCTGCCGCACAAATTGCAACATTACGTCCCGCCGGAGGTAGAATTTACATTTATATAAGTATATAACAATATACAACATTTAGTTATTATCCGGCAGGCTCACGTTTCCAGTGCTTCCAAACATGTAATTAATTTGCATTCAGTGAGGAAGCTTCAATCTCTTACACAAGAATGCCGACTGCCAACCTTCATAGGCCAAGCAGCAACAAATTCAAGGTTGAGGATCGCCTGCGCATCGCGGAGATGTACCGAGAGGTTGAACAATGAAGTAAAGCTTATATAACACTTGCAGGGATCATGTTCCACTTCCAGTTCAACGAATCACCTTCATTCCAAGACTTCCTCTCCCTCAAAGACGGGAACCTGCAATCCCAGAAGCAAGCAAGAAACCATGGTTCTTCGGCCTGAGCAAGTTTGACTTGTCTTCGGCATCGGTCTCAGCGCAAGCACTTCCGCTGATCAAGACATACCCGCTCCTGTCGTGCTGATCAGACCGTGTCAAGGACGATGTCAGGACAAGCTCGATCGCTTGCGCATTGCAAAGCTTTTTGGCGCGGGGGGCTCCCAGTCAGGGCGGGGTGTCAGAGTCCATCGCTTTGTTGGAGCTCTGCCTCTCTCTCTCTCTGCATATAGAACTATATAGAATTATATAGATATGAATGTCTCACACATACTTGCCACTACATCAGCTAAACTGCATAAAAGGATCGTCCCACTCTCACCCTTGGTGTAGATCTTCTCGTCTGCCTTCACTCCTGAGGATCTGGGCTAGCAGCCGGCAGCCAACCCCAAACTACTGCACCCCTGCTTGCACCTCATGCTAGACATTGTGCCAGCGGAGGGGATTGAATTGCTAGGTTGGGAGCTTGACTTGTCTTGCGATGGCTTGCGCAAGTCAGCCAAGTTGCGCAGAATTTCCATCGCATCCACCAACTTGGATAAGTCCTTGTGGATGGAGAGACGTGATTTAATACACTCACCAAATACAGCTCTCGCATGAGTTGGCTCTTCAGAGCAGCAAGGGTAGCGATGCTCGGCTATGATGCGGTCATTCCAAGGGCAAAGATAGTACTTGTTGTGTTAAGTTTCCCTAAACATCTAGGAACCACATCATTATATAGTGCGAGCGCTTCTTCAAGGAAGCTCCCCCCCGCCACCCCATCCCTCAGACGGGGGTGCTTCCTTGAAGAAGCGTGAGCTATGCTGTGTCCAGCTACTAGAAACTAACTAGTCGCCCTGGGCATACTCCCTTACTTAAAGTAGGCTACCTATATAAGGAGTGTCCACTCCCTCGCTTAATTAAGTATGCTCATGTATACACCTACTTCATTAAGGAAGGAGGCAGGGCCACGGAAAAAAAGAATAACAAACAAACCGTGATGGGGCTGGATTTGGGACCCTCCTCAATAGTGGCACATCCACCGCCACAGGGCATACTATGATTTCTATGCTTCCCTTCTGTCGCGGCCTCTTGATGCTTTCGTAGAAGGGCATGCAGCAACAAGCACGGTTCCTTTTTCTCAAGGGATTGTCAAACATACAAAACAGCCAGGAAGATTGTGGAGGTTTCACCTGTTCAGCATCTTGAGGTGTTGAAGACTGTCCACTTCTGCATCCCAGTGGCTTCAGCGTCAATGCCTTGAAAAAGCGGGCATTTCTGCAGCGCTGAGCTCAAACTCTGCCGCTGCTCCTGGGTCTTGGGATGCACGGGCTGAGTCCAATCGGCATAGCCTCGGTGGAGCATCCAGGCACCAGCCGTGGCACCGGTGAGTGCGACATCGTCGCTCCATGTGTCGACGAAGGTGGGGAACATCCCAGAAATAGACACACATCCCAAAGCTTCATGTCGGTACAGGTGGAAAAGTAGGAACGTGAGCCAAGTAGAAAAGGAAGAAGGAAAAGAAGGAGAAGGAGCCGGTGCAGGTAAAGGAGAAGGAGCAGGAGGAGGAAAGAGAGAGAGAGAGAGAGAGAGAAAAAAACCGCAAAGAAACATACGTTCTACTTTTCTCACTTTGTGACTAAAAATGCATTGGGTTTTGTGGTTTGTCTTGTCGACTTGCAGAGTCCGTCCCAAGGTCATAAATCCATCCAACTCGCCCGGCGCGGTCCTGTGTGTGCGTGCGCGTGCCAACACAAACTGCCGGTGGCTTAGTCTGTCGGGTTCGTCCCACGCGCCAAGCTGCAAACATTGTAGGCGCCACTGGGTTCAGCTGAGATGCCTCCTCTCCTGGGTCTGGTTGCTTGGTGGTTTGCAAGTCACATGGTAGCTTGAGGGGTTCCAGTGACTAAACCATCTCCTCCTTCAACCCATCGCTACAATTTGGCGTTTAGTTGCGTGAGTCACGACATGTGCACCATGCGAGACAAGCCCAGGGTGAGCCGCGCCCTATGAAAAGTTGAACGTGGAGAAGTGGATTCGACTTGGGGATGCCTGACCTCGAATGACTGAAGCTGGGGTGTAATGAACAAAGCAAAACAGCTCCATGCGCAATGCCCACCCACTCCTGGTGAGCAACACCTTGCCTGCCGGTTCCGCCTGTAGCTCATCCTCGCTGACCTGGTCACGGGATCGATTGGCATCACCGAAGTCTTCACCCGTCAAAAGGCAGGCACGCCAGGGACCCCCCCTCTCTCTCTCTGTCTACTCTCCCTCTCCCGGGCTTAGCATGGCTTAGCCGTCGCATGCCGTCGCGCTGTCCCGAAGACGCCCACGTGGCGTATCAACTCATGACTCGGATCAGTCGACCATCTTACCGATCAGTCTTGGAACCCGACAAGAAGAGTGGGGTTCAGGGTTGCAATAAGGACTAAGTGGGACTTATCTGACTTTTTCAGACATTATTGTGACAAACTTAACCCCGTCAATCGACAGTACCACCTCTCAATCTTGCAAACCCTGCACCTTTCCGCGTCACCTTTTCAGGCCACTTGCATAAGAACTCGGACCGGGGCTGCATTGGGAACGAAACAAATCAGCATGCCAAAGCATAGGCCACTGATTCCTGACCCCAAACATCCCAAAAACACTCCAATTGATGAGCTTTCGATCATGCCCTTCGCCAACCCCGTGACTACTGCATGTATCTCAACATCGATATTGCCCTTTTCGAGCCGCAGTGCTTCGCACTCGTGGCGAGATGTGGCGAGTCTTGTCAGATTCCGCATGATTCTGCAGGTCCGCTGTCGCTGCCTCATCGGCAAGCGAACAAAGCTTTCAATAGATCTCATGAGAAGTAGGTCTGCAAAATCTTCTCGACACATTGCGTAGCTCCGTCGCTCTCGTCTAATTTTCGTGCCACCTCCTTAGCTTTGTCCCTCATCTCTGCAGACTCCAGCGCACGTCTCATAGCCTCAAGAACTGCATCATGTGAGGATGGCACATCCTTGAAGGGAATAGCTGGAGGTGCCACTCCAAGCATGGCCAATTGCTTAGCATTGGGAAACTGGTCCAGTATCACTGGAAGGCAAACACTTGGAACACCAGAACGTAGTGCTGCTGCACAGGTACCAGCCCCTGCATGATGCAGGATGACCTGGCACGCTGGGAAAAGCAGATCATGGGGGCATGATTTGACCACCAAGATCTCCTCCTCCTCCTCCGAGGTCTTGACATTTGACCACCCTGCGCACAGAACTGCTTTCACCTGCAGGGCGTTCACGATCTTTTCTGCGAGCTCCATCAGCTCGTTCGGTCGGGGTGCTGGCATGGAACCAAGGCCCAGGTAGATCAACTTTCCAGAAGATTTCCTCATGAAATCCTGCAACTTGGGATCTAAGGACTCTTTGGGTGTCCTGGGAACAAACAGGAAGTTCGGGAAGAAGAAGTGTGATGGCCAATCTGCAGGAACCTTCAGGGTGGGGATGACAACTTCATGAAAACCACCAATCACAAGTAGTTCCTTCTCTTCGATGATGCTGAAGAGGCCCCTCCGATGAGCGAATGAGGGAAACGGCTCCAGTCCTAGGTCGGCTCGGAAGGCATTGACTTCTGAAACTTGCCGCTGCCATAACGCCCAGTAAAGGAAATTGAAGGAGAGAAGGTTCAACCAACCAAACCAGTTCGACTCCATCACGAAAGGGTTGGGAAAGTCCCTTGTCGGGTAATAGGGCCCATAGAGCACTGGGATCCAAGGTACACCCAACTTCTCTGCAATACAATAGGTTTCAGTGTAGGCGAGCGGTCCGGACACAAGGAGGTGCACATCGCGTGTCGTTTCCACCCAGTCTTTCAACGTCTGGTCGTACCACGTCTTTTTGCGGCGCTCGGACTCCTGGAATGGTCCATGGAAAGGCCACAACTTTCAAGCAAAGCAAACCCAAAAAAACCTGGCAAGTGATTCACACAATTTGGTGGACTGCAGCCTTGGCATGTACTTTTCATTGACAATATTGTTGGAACATGTTGGAACTTGCTGGGTGGCCTTCTACTAGCTCTTTTGTTAAAAGCTTTTGAGTGAGCGCGTCCAAAGAACATGGATTGTTGATTTGTTTCTCTCCGTTGCCTTTCGAAAGGAAGGCGTAGAAAGGCCAGATTTCGTGTTCCGTGGATGGGCCTTTGGTACATTCATGCCCGCTCCATCTCAACTTCCCTCAGCCTTCGCCTCTCCATTTCAAACATTTGCACCTTCCAGGGGCCTCAGCTCAAACAGTCCAATCAAGAATGCCAGCTCCTGGATCATCTTCATCAGCTTGCCCTTGGCTAACATCTCAGCGTGCTCCTCCTCAAAAACGATGCCGCATGAATCCCCAGCCACGGCGCGAAACTCCAAGCCGAACTCCTCGGCCAAGGCTCTTCCTCGCTCCTCGGAGATCAGAAGCACCTCCCAACCTAGGTTAGAGAAGCTGGAAAAGACCACAAACCTACACCAAATCTCGCAAGTTGCACAGCTCACAACCAGCCACCTCCTTATTATGAGACACTTTTGTTTCTGACCCACAACCTTTTATTCTGACCCCCAACCCTTTCTTTCTGACCTGTCTTTTTGACCCACAACCACAACCCCATATGTTTTATGCCACTGCTACTGCCATTGCTTCAAGGTGCCTTTGGCACGAAAGCCGAGGGCTAAGGCCACCAAAGGCTGCAAATCACCACGAGTACCCACATTGCAAAAGGCGCATTTCATCACGGACGTTGATTGCCACTATCTTGTGACACTTGGAGATGTGATGAGGCTGCAGTAGGATTGACTGGTAGGTCGAGGTCGCAAAGATTCGCAAAGTATGCCAACATACTCAATGCAAAGCTGGTCAAAATATATGTCAACATATGCAACCCTTCGAATCATGGGCACAATTGTGCTGCACAATGACCATTCTTGTCGACTGTATGAGTGGCTAATTCTAGTGCATGTCCTGCCCTGCGGATGTGTGGATCACTTGAAGACAACTCCTGCAGCATCGCCTCACCAAGTCGCCTCAAGCGATTTCCACCTCACCCCAACCAACCCGCCGGCGCTGCACCGCACCCTTCACGGCCTCTTCTTCCGCGAGCTCTTCCGCATCTTCGCTCTCACAGCGGACCCAGTCCCCGTCGGGCCCGTCGGGCCCGTCGGGACTCGGCCAGTTCGACGTCGACCTGCGGAACGGGAACGTGGCGGTGGTGGTTTCAACATGCGAAACGGGAAATGGGAACACAAACGGCATCTCGTCTCACTAGTCTAAAACAATATTTGTTTAATATGCTGGACTATAGCGTACTAATTATAGTATATAGAGGGCCGGGACTTGTTGGCTCTCCTCTTGGTCCAAGCTGCTTGCCAGTGTCAAGGTCTTCTGCTTGGCTACCTTGCTTGAAATTGAAGCACTCCGTGTTAGCATGGCGGAGAAGTTGACTAGTTTTTCATGGGCAGAAAAATATATGGCCAAGAGATGCCAAGAGTCCAGCAGTAGGGGGGTATAGCAGTTGGTGGTCCAGCATGATCAAAGTGATATTGGATAGCAGGTCGCAGTGCACTGTCTTGCCCTCCAACCAGCTGTGAGAGCACCTGGAGACCGTGGCTACCCAGCATGACTGATTGGAAGTGAAGCTGAATGAATCAAAGGGGATTTGTTTCAAACTGGTGTTTCAGTCTGCATCTACGACATTTCACATTTCCTAGTGTCAAAGGTTTGGCGATCCTTTTACTCTCGGTCCCGCCCAGGGCGGTTCTCAATGCAAATAGGGTGATGGAAGCCAAACCTTGGTGACGTCCTCAACCCAACCGAAGCAGTTGCATTGGTTCATCTCTCCATTGGTCCACAACATCAGCGCTGCGCGGCCGACAACGTTGGTGAACAAGATAACCACCCACAAGACCAACAACACATGGCCTGATTTGACAACCTTAGCAATTAACCTCTAGCTGTTAATATCTATAAATATGTCCGTGACAGTTTTGAACGAATCCTGAACCTCCTGAGCTGCATCTGCAAACTTCAAGCTGCTCATGTTTTTCTGTCGCCTAAGTACATAAGTTGAAGTGTTGAAGGCATCTCCATCGAAGCTGCCTGCAAATTGGTTGATTGATTGGCAGGCCACCTCGAGCCGAAGGGCACGGCATATCATTCATGCATGAAAGTCATTGAACATCTCATTCCTGATGGGCACTGAAGAGAAGAAACAAGCTCGGTCGAAACAGGGTGTCGCACCTGCAGGAGATTCCAAAGCAAAGCAACAGCCATGATGAGGCCCTTCTTTCTGGTGGCTTCAGCACAGTCCCCACCTTTTAGCCTTTCTCAACGCGAGAGCAGTTCTTCCCGCTCACTGCCGATGATTGGCCTCACGATCCCCAACAGTGACCACTAAAAAAACGGAAACACTCAACCGGATGCGCTCTCAACCGACCAAAAAAGCGGTGTAACCCGACCTTGCTGAATCCACCTCTTCTTCATCACCTGGGAGAGAGGTAGCTGTCTGAAACACATGTACCCGTCAAGTTGGGATGGCGGGACCGTCTCCACCGGACGGAAGGTGACCTGACCGCCACTGCTGCAGGATGACGTCAAACATGTGGAAGCCAAACTGCCGAGTGCAACGGAAAAATCTGCAGCCTTCAAAGCCGTGCTCAAGGCATTCGTGAACTACTGTATCAGGGATCTATTGAGGGCCTGGGCAGCCTAAATGCGAGGGTTCTTCAAACGTTCGAGGTAGGAAGACGGAAGATGTCTGGCGAGTCTGTGTATTGGGCGCCACTAGTGGTGGCAGCCCATTTCAGGCAAGGTGCCAACAGAGTCATGCACAGAAGGTCGAAGCTTTATGATGGCTGCCATGGAATCCTCGCAGCGAGAAGAATGGAGGAAGCGAATTCCTGTTGCTTTTTCGAACGATCCACATGTAAAACAAGGTCTGACTGACATAGTCACAAACACAAGCATATTTGCATCGGTCTGATGGGACCCCTTTAGAGTTTCTCGCTGAAACCCTGGCTGTCCCTTCACAGAAGCGCACATCTCCTCATCTCCGTTGAACAAAGGTGAAGCGTGATTGGTTGAGACCTCTGACTGGCCCTGGTGACGAGCACAGCCCCCCGGCGTGTAGTTTGCTGGTCAGCAATACTGCAGCTCTAACGGTTAACGGGTATTGCACTGAGTGTGGCAACAAGTCGAAGCAAGTAGCGGCAAATATCAGTCTGGGCGTTCCCATGGTCTGCAAGTGGTACCTTCTCAACGTGTTACTGTGATTTTCCCTGGAGCCTCCTCATCATCAAAGTTGCCTGCATCGAGGGCTAGGATGACTGTTGCTCCAATCCTTCCGACTCATGTCCACCCTCCTAAAGCCTGAGAGAACACGGTCGCAGTCAGGCAAACGGTCAAGGCCGAGAGCTCATTGTTAATATTCCATGAGCACATGGTGTTGAATACCTTATACAGTTTGAGATGCTTAATATACACGGGACAACGAAGTTGGGATATGCTGGACACAAAGATATGTCCCACACTATGTCTCACTGGGCATGCAACTCTTGCAGCAATTATGTTGATGTCATTGCTGGAGTTTTGCCAAGCATGCATTGGTACCTGAAAGTGACATCATGACAAGCAGGGGGGCCCCTACTTTCTGTGTTCCTCTGCGAGTGCACTGATATGATACCAAATCCTGTGAAATCATGGTGCACAGCATCATAATCATGATCCCTCCGTGGCGCCTCCCAATAAGCCTTGTTTCTCCTCCGGGGTACATGGATCCTCCTGAGAACAGCATTCCCAATCGCCATCGTTCGACCTCCGGTCGAGCCGGGTTCGACGTCCGAAAGAACAAACACTCTTCGACGTCTTTCAGGCTCCTTTTCGCTGCCATCCTGGCAAATGAGAGGTCAACTTTGACTGGACAAATGTGAGTGAACATGTGCATGACTGGAGACGAATGGAGACCATTTTGCAACACGTTTCGGTTCTGCCCTGCATGTCTTGGCGAAACGATCAACAAAAACTCAGGCTGTAGCCGCACTAGCACTCTTATTAGGCCGGTATGTAGTTCATGGGCCAGTGCTAAAAGGCAACTGTACTCCGAAATCCCTTAGTTCCTCTCGAGACGAACATGCCAGGAGCACGTCTGGACCCCTGCCAGGAGCGCAGCATCATTGGTCAACTAGCTAGACATTGCTGAAAGCGAGGGACAACAGAAGGGCCAAAAGTGATCAAACGGTTTCCCGCCGTGAGATTGTACAGGTGTAGCATCTTTCAAGGCCCGTCGATGGCATCTTATTTGGATTCATATTTGGACTTCTCATCCTGTTCTTCCTTCACCGTCCGGGAGCATCCGGTTCCAGCTTCTTCCACCATCCGAATCGACCGAGGACCGAGACCGGATCAAGATCCCACCGGCTCAGCCTGGCGAAAACCCACCTTTGGAGGGTCTCCTTGAACCTGCGGGAGGCGAACGGGGTGGTCAATGTATGTAATATTCCAGTCCCATGGAGTGTCTGGGAATTTGGGGAGTGTGTGGCAGCTTTAGACCATCAACACATGCCAAATGACAACGGCAATCACTCATCGCCACAGGCCCGACCTTATGAGGAATGGGTACAGACCAGCCGCCTGGCCAGCAGCAAAACCCTAGTAGCAAAACCCTAGTCAGTGTTGAATCTTGAACATCACGCTTCCACAAAACGTCACAAAACCAGCAGAAAATTGTCCGGTCAAGAACCTTTGCTTGTCCACCCTTGCCAATGAGTTCTTGCTGTCACTTGCCCACACTCGGTCCTCGTCCAAGGGAGCACGTCTGGCGGGCTCTTCAGGATCCACCTCTGATGACAATCGGACGGCCTCATCTTGAAGAGCAATGAATCCCTCTCGGTGCTTTCTAAAGTGAACCCAAGTGTTGGCATCTTGACTAACTGTCACCCTTGAAAGGGGCACTACCATACGCTATGCTGCCACACGTATTTTTCAATGACATTGCTCACCAGGTGAGCCTCACCTGATCTTGATTGTCTGTTCCGTCTACTATATATATATGTGTGTGTGTATGTGTGTGCGATATGACTTAAGTAATATGTGTATATATATATTGTAATATAATATATACATATATGCTACTTATCTCCACTGTATCATTTTTCCTGCACTGCTTGACACATCTCGTTCCTTTTGCATCCCTTTCTCTTTGCCCACGTCTTTTCGCTCGTGGCCCACCGTCAGCAAGCCCCCGTCACAGGAGGACACGGCGCTGTATCGGAACCTCGGCCGGACCAACGTGGCCGGACACTCGCCTTGATACTCTCGCGGCTGACTGAGGCGGCCACCCCGCACGGAGGTCGGCCAGCCTGTAAGAGTCCGGTAAAGTGGAGAAAACTAGTAGCGTTCTTGTTCCTAGTAGTAAGAATGCTCCTAGTAGCGATGCCAGGAGACCCTAGTAGCGATGCCCTTGCTCCTAGAAGCTTCGTGTTCCTAGCAGTAAGGCCAGGAGCCCCTAGTAGCGTCCGTGCTCCTAGTAGCTTTGCTCCTAGTAGCGTCCTTGCTATATACTATTGTGTTGATGTTGGGGTGTTTTGAACTCACGCAACTTGATGACTGAGATGCGTTGATTCAGTTTGAACGGTCATGAATGGTCTCAGTGTTCACTGAGGTGCCAACGCTGATTCGACCTGGCCCCAATTCTGGCGGCAGAACCACACCTAATGTGCACTCTTTGCGTTGTGGCACACAGTGGAGTGGAGTGCCACTGGAAAGTATCTTCCATATCTTCCATCTCCATGCCACACCCAAATCAACTGCACAAGTCGCAGACTGTGTCCCAAATCTCTAGACT